TCTTTGTGCTCATTCATCCAGAGTGGTGCCTGTATATTACAGGAGGTGTGTTACTGGCCAGATTACCAGGGGAAAACAGAGCAATTAAAGGCTTAAAAAAACCAAACAAAAACAAAAACGAATGCGGCCTACAGCTAATTTTTGGTAAGCTGCAATATATTACATTTTTGGCTTTTGGATTAATATAGTTCTAAAGCATTTGTAAAGTAATTTTTTCCCTTTAAACTAGCAAACATGTTATACTTGCCTGCTCTGGGAAATGGAATTGCACAGAGCAGCCCCAATCCTCTTCTTCTCTGATATCCTACCAGCACTCCTGGCTCCTCCTCTTCTTGGTGTGCCACCATAGCAAGCCACTTCCAATCGTGGCACCGATTGAAAAGGAGAGAGTCGCTGCACAGGCACAGCACTAGATTGTGATTGGGCTTAGATAAGTATAGGGGGTGAGAGGGTGGTATAACATCCTAAATCATTTTTTTCTAGCTTAATGCAAGGAACACATTGTAGTAAAAAATGTTTATGCCTTACAGTTACTTTGACTATGAGATCAGGCACCACCAGCACAAGGGACACATAATCTTAAATGTAAGTACCATCTCTTGTGCTGCTTTGTTGCCCACCAAAAATCCCAATCACTCCACGGCCACTGCTTATATAACCTGGTCGAGTGGCAGAAAGAGGTTGCCAATCTTAAGGTGGGACCCCAACTTTTAGGAACTTGCATCCCACTACAGTACCTTCTCCTTAAAACGCCAAACTTTTATTAGGGCTTCATGGTTGATGCCTGCTCATTTAAAGTCCTGCACGTGAAGATTTTTTCCTTTAAAATATCCTCATTTGCATTTGTTACCATTATTTTGTTCGAAAAAAAAAACTGGTTATCGTGTTTTAAAATTTATTCTCATGGGCAATTCATACAGGGTATAGAAGTGCAGTAAGAAACTATGTATTCGTACAAGCCTGTACCAAAAATGCTAAGGCTGTAGATCTTTATTGCTTCTGCCCTTACAGTAGAAACAATTGAGTACTGTCCGTGATACTTTTTTTATTTGCACTAACATACAATTTTGAGGACAAGCTTTCGGGGTATGTCCCCTTCTTCAAAGTCCAAGCGGTACTGTACAAATCACAAAGTTTCAGCAGAATGTTAGAACAGATGAAGAAAAAAAAAAAAAAAAGAGGCTAGAGATAAGATACAGCCAAAGCGAGGGTGGAGGGGGGGGGGGGGGGGGATACTACACTCACACAGAGGGAGTCAAGCTAGCTAATAGTCATAAACTTACAGTAAATATTTTACCCTTACAGTAAATATTTTAGGTTTCATTAAAATATCATGGCCCAGAAAATTACATGATTCAACCATACAGCATTTTTGTCTACATCCTTTTCCTACAGGAACTGACATTTATTAATGCCTATTATTCAGAAATGCCAGTTCGCATCAATACCATAACCAGATACATGAATCACTTCTGGTGGTCTAAGAGGGCAAAGTTCTTATGAAACCATTCTAAAATGATTTTGACACCACATCAACTCTATTTAGAATGGATTATTTAGGTGGCATCATTCTACTCTGTGATATAATGTAATCCAGATAACTCAGAGGTGAGGTGCATATATGCACAGTATGCATATATAAAACATAGAATAGAAATAAACTAGTGTCTTACATTATTTTTTTAATAAAGACATGATTTTTAGTTCCATACTTTTGGCAGCCATATAATACTACATTAGCCCAATCCAACAGAAACATGAGACATGGTACTAATACGACAGAATTTTTGGTATAGCAGTAAGATATAAAAAAAAAGTGTTTCTAAAAGGCCGAAGGTTTTTTATCTTCATGCATTCTATGCATGAAGGTAAAAAACCTTCAATATGCAGGTCGCCCTGTGCCCCCCTCCTAATAACTACTTAGTGAAAGAAAAAAATTGACGGAAATGAAAATACTTCTGCATTAAATTCTGAGTAGGTAGGTGATATTGAAGCCATGGATCCCAGAAAAGCTATAAAGCTGTGAAAGCAAAAGGCATTCAGGAGATTTGGGCTCCTCAGCATTTTAAGGATCCCTGGAGAAAGCCCAGTGATGTCATCCTTGCCTACAGAAAATGTCCATAAGTCAGGGTGGAAGGCAAGTTACTTCTACTCTTTTCTTCTGTTTTATTCTGTTTACTTGCATTTAGCATTTTTAGGTAGGGGACTACAAAAGTAGAAGACCTTGTATTTAACCTTGTAAAAAAATGCAAGGTTTACGTTTGTTTTTTTTTCTGCAACCCCACAATAAGAAACACTTAGTGAAGGAAAAAATTGGACGAAAATGAAAATACTTCTGCATTACATTCTGGGTAGGTAGGTGATATTGACGCTATAGATCCTGGAAAACCTATAAAGCTCAGATTTCAGCTGTGGAGTCCAGCTTCGCTCTAGCAAAAGGCTTTCAAGAGATTTGGGCTCCTCAGCTTTTCAGGATCCCTGGAAAAAGCCCAGTGATGTCATCCTACAAAAAGTGTCCAAAAGCCAGGGTGGCAGGCAAGTTACTTCTAATTCTTTCTTCTTTTTTTTTTTTTTACTCTGTTCACTTGCACTTAGCATTTTTAGGTAGGGGACTTTGTATTTTCATACAAGCATAGCTTTTATGTATTCGCTAGCTATGACTTTGTCCATGCAGTGTTCCAGCAGAAGAGGTTTCAGAAAGGATGTGCTGAATATCCTATTTACCAACTTGATACGGCCAGCTGATGTTGTCCTATTAGTAACTCTTCTCTATACACTTTTTTATTGAATTATTTTCTTGTTTTTTTTTTTTTCCCTTGTTTCCTCCAAGTTTAAATGGCATTGTCATTTTTTTCCTCCACTTAGTTTTTAATTGTCCCCTGGCCGTGCTGCTTGATGCCCATTCTTTCTGTGCCCCCTGTGCTGCTGTGATCTATTGAGTCCTGTAGGAGTCTCCTTGTTCATTCCCACTCTACTCCGAGTCTAGTCATTTATTGCTGGACACCCAGAGGAAAAGCTATGCCTCTTCTCTTCGTCCACAGCGGTGATTGACAGCATCTGTCACTGTTGAGTAGGAGAGGCCAGTATTTTTTTTATTTTCATTTAAGAAAAAAATGGCTCTAATACCACTATCAGTTTTTGTAAAGTAATATTATGGAAAAACATTTTGACTTCTGTTCTCAGCTACTTTTTGTCCCCAGCTTCCACACAGCAAATACTCATTGCAATCTGGCCTATGGACATTTTTGCATGTTGGGAACATGAAGGGAAAGGATTTTCGAGTGACCTGGGTGGCTAGCAAATAACCCCAACAGCCATGGAACCCTGGACCATGGTCTATGTTACATAGTGGAAACTCTGGCTCTGATGAAGAAATTAAAAGATGGAGATTATCAAGAGACAAAGGCAGTCCTTGTGTGAAAAGGCCAGAAAGTCTGTGTAGGCGGACTGAAAGTAAGCTGACTGAAAGTCCAGTCTGGGAAGTAAAAAAAATGGGTCCAGCAGAGGGGCTGGGACTGAAGCATTTCTGTATTGATGAGGAGACAGCAAGAGCTGTGAAAAAATTAGCCAGGAGACTGAAAAACATTTGCTGTTGCGTGGGAAGATACTCCTGTGAACTTAGATGGTTCAAATCCTAGCTGGCTCACCAGGGACCAGCTGTGATTTGAACCATCTATAGGCAGGCTGATTGTACCCAATTCATTTGTTGTACAACTAGCCAGTTGGATTTTTCATGCAAATATTCCCAGTGGCTATAGCCGTTAGCAATAATTATGTGCTCTCCCATTGGGGAGGTCTCCTCCCTGCTGGGACAACACAAAAGCTCAGCGAGAGGGATTCCCCCATCAACACTGACTGTGTTGATAGGGGACTCAAGTGATTCTTTCCTGCAACCCATAGTTGCAGGAAAGAAAATCGCATCATCTATGGCCAGCCTTTCTATGTTGAATAATAAAGGTGGCCTGAAAGCAATGCAAATCTGGCTCATTGCAAGCTTTCAGTTTGATATTAATCTGTACATCACCTAAAAATCAGCACAATCAAAAGTGTCAGGCCCATGTGGACTGCTGTAGTTGCACCATTAGGAGCCTGGTCTGTCTTTCTCTCTTGCCTGGCCGCTGTGTAGGTCCCTGTCTTGCTTCTTTCCCCACTGCAAATGTGCTGTCATCCTTGCAGCAGAGTAGAGGACAGGAGAGATGGTAGGTCATTACAAAGAGCAGGAGCTGAAAGTGGGAGATTGGTTGCTAGGCCGCACAAACATTGCTTTTTGGACCTATGCTGGAAGAAAGTCTTACCAGACCTAATTCAATTGAAATTCCATACCCCTGGACCACTAAATGTTTTACAGAAGGCCCATTTTCTAGTGAGGTTGCATAGCATTATAGATTCCCAACTTCTGCTTTTGCTACTTTGCTTATTTGTAAATGTCTGATATTAAAAATTGCATTGTCAAGTGAAAGGTTATTAAACAGGATATACAAGCTGCAATGTTTAACTAAACTTTTTTTTTTACAAAATGTGCTTGGGAAACCGTATAGTCTGTAAGACCTGACATCATTGTTGTGAACATGTAGCTAGGCGTGTTCTTTCTGTTGGTGCTTACTGGTATTCAGTACAGACAACATCCAGCTCTGCCCTACATTCCTTTTCAGCAACAAATCATTTCAACAGTGATATATTGTTGTTAACAGGGAGCCAATGCCTCATTATTATAAATGATTTGTTTCTGCAGAGGCCCCCACTATGGAGAACAAAAAAAACGCAAATAAAAATAATACATAAAATCCCTCTTTATTACTTAGGTCCCAACCAGAATGTGGGACATTTACACTTAGAGATTGATTTACTAAAACTGGAGAGTGCAAAATCTGGTGCAGCTCTGCATAGTAGCCAATCAGCTTCCAGGTTTTATTGTCAAAGCTTAACTGAACAAGCTGAAGGCTAGGTTCACACCTAAGCGGTTTGCATTTTGCAGAAACGCACTACAGTCCATTTAAAATTATTTCCTGTGGGGCACATTCACATCTCCGTGTTTTCACCCGATGCGATTTTTGGAAAGGGTCAGGGACTTTTTTTAAACGCAAAAGTTACATTTTGGTTAAATAGACTTCAATGGAGATGCTGCAGAAATGCATGTAGTGCATTTTTTTATGCGTTTTTGAAGCGTTTTGTGTTTTTACTCTGCCCAGCAACAAGTTGGCCAAAAAAAACCCTAGAAAAATGCAAAACACATCAAAAAAGCGCATGTGCAATACCACAAAAAGCACTGCAGAAATGGATCAAACGCAAACTGCATAGGTGTGAACCTAGCCAAAGTTAGAAGCTGATTGGCATCGCTGCACCACATTTTGCACACTCTCCAGTTTTAGTAAATCAACCCCTTGAATGGTTTCATAGTTAGTCTGGCTAAAAAAAAAGCAAAACACAAGTCCATCTAGTTCAACAATAAAAGGAAAATAATATTATATATATATATATATATATATATATATATATATATATATATATATATATATACAGTGGGGATCGAAAGTTTGGGCACCCCAGCTAAAAATGTGTATTAATGTGCATAAAGAAGCCAAGGAAAGATGGAAAATTCTCCAAAAGGCATCAAATTACAGATTAGACATTCTTATAATATGTCAACAAAAGTTAGATTTTATTTCCATCATTTACACTTTTAAAATAACAGAAAACCAAAAAATGGCGTCTGCAAAAGTTTGGGCACCCTGCAGAGTTAATATCTTGTACTGCCCCCTTTGGCAAGTATCACAGCTTGTAAACGCTTTTTGTAGCCAGCCAAGAGTCTTTCAATTCTTGTTTGAGGTATCTTTGCCCATTCTTCCTTACAAAAGTCTTCCAGTTCTTTGAGATTTCTGGGCTGTCTGTCACGCACTGCTCTTTTAAGGTCTATCCATAGATTTTCAATTATGTTGAGGTCAGGAGATTGTGAAGGCCATGGCAAAACCTTCAGTTTACGCCTCTTGATGTAATCCCCCGTGGATTTCGAGGTGTGTTTAGGATCATTATCCATTTGTAGAAGCCATCCTCTCTTAAACTTCAGCTTTTTCACAGATGGCATCAAGTTACTATCCAAAATTTGCTGAAATTTTATTGAATCCATTTTTCCATGTACTCATGAGATGTTCCCTGTGCCACTGGCTGCAACACAACCACAAAGCATGATTGATCCAACCCCATGCTTAACAGTTGGACAGAGGTTCTTTTCATTAAATTCTGTGCCCCTTCTTCTCCAAACGTACCTTTGCTCATTCCGGCCAAAAAGTTCAATTTTAACCTCATCGGTCCACAGAACTTGTTTCCAAAATGCATCAGGCTTGTCTATATGTTCATTTGCAAAGTTCAAACGATGATTTTTGTGGTGAGGACGTAAAAGAGGTTTTCTTCTGATGACTCTTCCATGAAGACCATATTTGTACAAGTATCTCTTTATAGTGGAATAGTGTACCACAACTCCAGTGTCTGCCAGATCTTTCTGGAGGGATCGTGCAGTCAAACGTGGGTTTTGAATTGTTTTTTTCACAATCCTGCGATCTGTTCTGTCTGATATTTTTTGGTCTTCCAGATCTTGCTTTAACTTCCACTGTTCCTGATGACTGCCATTTCTTAATTGCATTCCGAACAGAGGATATTGACATCTGAAAACGCTTTGCTATCTTCTTATAGCCTTCTCCAGCGTCAACTATTTTCAGTTTCAGTTTTCTAGACAACTGCTTAGAAGAACCCATGGTGCTGATTGTTGGGGCAAGGTCAGATGAGTCTGGGCATTTAAAACCTTTGAGATTGACATCACCTGGTCTTCCCAGACGATGATTGAGAACAATCAATGACACTGGCAGGTCTCAGCTTGGCAAAGGGGGCAGTGCATGCTATAAATTCTGCAGGGTGCCCAAACTTTTGCAGACGCCATTTTTTTGTTTTCTGTTATTTTGAAAGTGTAAATGATGGAATTAAAATCTAACTTTTGTTGACATATTATAAGAATGTCTAATCTGTAATTTGATGCCTTTTGGAGATTTTTCCATCTTTCCTTGGCTTCTTTATGCACATTAATACAAATTTTTAGCTGGGGTGCCCAAACTTTCAATCCCCACTGTATGTATGTATATATATATATATATATATATATATATATATATATATATATATATATATATATATATAATCTCCTATGCCCACAGTTGATCCAGAGGAAGGCAGAAAACCCAGCAAAGCATGCTTTCGCAGGGGAAAAAGGTACTTTACCTATAAATGTTAGTAACCAGTTATATTATGTGTATCTAGGAAATAATGCAGGCCTATTTTAAAGCAATCCACTGAGCTGGCCAGAACCAACTCTTGAGGCAATCTATTCCACATTTTCACAGCTCTCACTGTGAAGAAACCTTTCTGTATTTGGAGATTAAATCTCTTTTCCTCCAAACGTAAAGAGTGCCCCTTTGTCCTCCTTGATGCCCAATTGAGCCATAGTTGTACTTCTACAGTATCAGGTTGTCTCATGTTGTCAGCACTGTGGTAGAAATGTGCATACTTCTGCTACATTCACACATTGGATGTGAGAAGTGTGGTGCGATTTAGGTATGATGCAACAGAATATAAGGTGAAATACAACACCGTGTGTATAAATGTACCCGTATAGGCTCTGAAGTCTCTTGCCTAGCTGTTGAGATCAGATCACCAAAGGTGCTCCCTGCTCCTTTGCCATGTGCATGTGACTCTGAGGGGTTATTTACGAAAGGCAAATCGACTGTTCACTTTTCAAGAAAATGTTCCCCACAGCTTAGTGAATGTGGTTGTGTCACTTTGTAAAGAATACCCACATACAAGTCTGTGTATTTCTTTGGAAACACAATACAGTATTACTCCTTTTAAGTCCATTTACTCAACAACATTGCCGACCTTTGCCTGAAATGCTTTAGGCCTCCTTCACACAGAGTGCATTATACCGTACACCCGGGCAGGACCTTGTTTACAGGCACAGGTGTTCCATGCATTACTGTGCGGGTAAATCCATTGATCTTAATTGTCAATGCGACATCCATATGGGTGCAGGTACATGTCCTCGAGCTCACCTTGTCTGCATTCGGGGACATGTACCCACTCCCACATGGATGTCATATTGGGACAAAGCGACTATCTATACAGCCACTGTGTCCCAACTGACATCAGTGGACTGCCTGAACAGGGACGCACTGGACATCTGAGCTTCCTTGTGTAGGTAAACATGGTCCTGCATGGACATACAGTACACCCTGCATAGGCAAGGCCTTGGGGTCGGTTCACACTATAGAATCACAGTCAGGATGCGTTCCAGATGCATTTCTGTATGCGCGTTTTTGATGTGTTTTGGCACATTCCGGTGCGTTTTTGATGCATTCCAGTTAATTTCCCCCCCTCTTTTTATTTAATTTAATTAGGGACATGTGCGTTCCAGTGTATTTTTGGTGCATTTCAGTGCATTTTTGATGCGTTTTACCACGTTTCAGTACAGTTCTGTGCAGGAAAGATGAAGCCCGTTCTGCGTTTTTTCTTTTTTCTACATTCGGAACACACTGGAACTGCAAGTACTGATGTGAACTATGACTTTGACAACCATATAACCTACTTTCTGTGCATTTTGGATGTAAAAAATAAAGCACATTGAAACGTGTGTAGTGTGAACAGGCCCTTAAAGGGGCATATTGATGTTATTTGATTGCTCTGTCACCGTCTCCATTTGTTCTGTTGAGCATGACCACAAGTCCAAAAAATGAAAAAATCCATAATTTTGAGTTGTTTCCTATAAAGGAGCAAGAAAGGAAATATTCTAATGGGAACACTTGATCCAGTGAATTTCTCACTTCCTGTTGTGCTTTGACACAGGAAGTGAAGAAAAATCTTTTCAGAAATGCAGAGAGAAAAAAAAACTTTTTCAGCACTGTTCATAGATGTAAAAAAAAAATGTAAAAAATTTTTCAATTGTTACTGTAAAGAAGCACCTATGAACAAACCCTTGTCAATTATTAACTTATGGTAGGGGAACTGCTAGGGGTAGCTGCTTCACTTTTGTCTCATATGGTCTTTGTTCTGGTTTTGTAAATGAGGTCTAGTAATTGCACAGAGCACCTAATTAGATGCCTGCTTACAGCTATCATTAAAAAATTAAACTGAAAATCGGACTTAATGAAAGACCTTTTAATGAGAGCAAAAACATTAACTGGTCTTCTAAAATGAAATAGATTACTCAGTTAGTTATGTTATGCAGAAAAGGAGTGTTAATTGCCATGAAATAATGATCAGTCATTCCTTAGTAAAAGTGTCCGGTCAATATTATTAGTAGTACATCTTCATTTCATTAGAAAAAACTGAAACCATACTGTGAGTAGGAGACAGTCATTTCCTGTGGCTGTGGGAAAAGGCTTTCTACACTTGTATTAGATGGTATTAGATTTTTTATATGATGTAAGCACGTTATCCTGGAATTTAAGTGCCTTTTGAGACGAAACCTGTTATTAAATATATAAATGAAACAATGTTATTAGACAAACCACTTTCATATACTGTAAGAAAATATACACCACTAATGTGTATGTATGTACAGGGGTGAGACAAAATAATGAAAATGAACACTATGTGATTTGCAGGTGTGAAAGTGACATGTTTTGCATTGAAAGCAGAAGTGATGTAACATTCTTTTGCTTCCGCTGTGTGATGCGACACCTAGCTAACAGGTGGGAGGCCTCACTCATCATTCACTGCGTAATATCGAGTCGTGAAGTGAAGCAAAAAAAGAGCACACCAACCTTGCACATTACCTCAGTAAAATATGATTTTATTGAATAAAAAATATATACTCACAAACAAGGAAATATAACAAGCATAAACAGATCCTCAAAGGAACTTGAAATGTAGAGCCAGTGTGAGTCACATCATGAGGGTAGACTCGCAAAGGGTGGCTGATGCGTTTCGAAGGGGTGACCTTCTTTATCAGAGCTAACTGCACAATGAGTGCCCACTACCATATATACCTTGCGACTGAATGTAAGCCCTCCCATGTGGGCAGGGCCGTCCCTGGCCAGGAGGAGGGGCATAGGTGTCATTCAGCCCTTATGAACACAGAATGAGGGTTAATGGAAACTGGCATATCCAGATTCTTATACCATACTGAGTATGTACAATATTGTCAGTATACAACACATATATATGTATGTGTGCTGCATATATGGAATTATTTTGTGCTGATAAAAGACAATCTATACTAGGTATATCATTTTGTGTATGTACAATTACTAAAATGTATCGGTAAATGCCGACACGCCATTAAATCGTATTTGCATATTTAAACACTAGTATTTGGGTAAAGTCTCCCTCCAGTGCTAGGTCTACTAAAGTTTATCTAAGAATGCGAATCATAGAGAGGATTTCCATAGCGCACCTTGCTTTATATACTTTCTCAGTATATTCTTTCTCAGTCACTCAGCAGAAGTAATTCTGAGTCTTCCTTCTGAGTCCGTTTTAACAGGGCTGTCCACCTGTCTTTCTTATGCACAAATACTGAGACTTATCTGGAACATGACATATGACCATTATATGACATGGTCGTAATGCATATCCACTGCACCAATAACTTCTGGAAACAGCAGCCTTTATCTTTTGAAGAGGAGTCTCTTGCAGGCACCCTTAATGGTGGTTATGCCGTTTAATCTGAGGCATCACTA